TATGACAGACACCTGAAGAAGACTGGTGACCTTGCTGGTCCGAATAGGAAAGTACAATGATAATTCCACATTTAAAAATCTCTGACAGAAATCATTTAAAGTCATGTTCTCATTTTTTGTTGAATAATGTGTTCTTTTTTGAAACCTCACTTGAATAGTTGAATAATAAAAACACTTTTCTCAGATCAGAAGTGGGCAAAATCTAATATTAACAAAACTTATCTCTAACTTTAAACACATTTAATTGAGATAAACTGTACCCTCTTTTATTTGCAATAAATGATAAATAAGTAGTTTTTGTATACAATTTATTCAATGGTGTGTGCTTTCTATGTATGTTCTTTGTTTAATGTTATGTGATTGATATGCAGATAAGGTACTTCAGTATTATTTATCTCTGTTGTCGATTGGGGGGAAATGGTTTAATGACAGAATAAATAGAAGATAAATTTATTACTTTAGAATGACAGCATTAAATTTTTGCCAAAATAAAAATTTGATTAAAAAAAAAAATCTTTTATAAAAATTTTTTTTTTAATTCTTATTATTTCTTGCATCAGGAAAATATTTCTCATTACCTATTTATGACAACTTATTTTCACTATTACACAGTCTGTAAATTAATTCAGTTCTATATCCCACAACTGGAAATAGATTTTTATTATTTAACTCTTTGAATCCAAAATTTGCTTGAAGATGAAACAACTAATGCTTTTAATTTAATATAATTGAATTTGAAGTCTTTGGTTTCTGTTTTTCAAACGTGGTAATTCCTGTGTAGCGATGAAACCATATTTTTAAATCAGTTAATTTATAATATTTATGCTCTGTAAATTTGTTTTGTAAAAATATCAATAAGAACACCAGATTACATATCTTACTCTTCTTCCTTTTTTTACTATATATATTATATATGTGTGTGTTAGGAGAGTATTTTTAGGATCTTTGTTGCTTGTCGTAAATTGCATTAATTGCTCTAGCTTATGTACTTTTAGTAGTAGTAGTAGTATAAACATTAGAAAATTATTCAAATGTTTCTCTCAAGGTCAGCTCTATGTAGCTATGTTCAGAATTGGAAATTCAATTGGACTTAGTATAATGACAAAAGAAACTAGAAAATAGATTATTTATACTCCTCATCCTGATCTTTCTTGTTGTTATCATAATGTCTTAACTGTTGCACCCTCTGGCCTTCCTCAGGTGGATATCAATCTGGGTAATCTCCAGGGAATTCTGAACTGAACCCATTATTTAATCTACAGGGGTAGACTCTTCTCATTCCACTGCTCATGTCTAGGAATATCATCTAGTTCTTTGTTTTTTGTTGTTTTTTTTAGTACTGCTTGGTTATTGCTTGCCTGTTTCCACTCATCCTATTTTAGAAACTCAACATTTAGTGAAACTAATGGTGGTGGTGGTGGGGGGTGCTCCTATCCATCCATCCATAACAATTGAATGGTAAGCTTGTATGTGGTAAGCCTATTCACCAGAGTTCCTACGGATGGGACCCTGGCAGTTGTTTGAAACCGATTGGAATCAGAGCCCTCCCTGGGAGAATGTACTAATAATTCAACAGATAAATCTAATAGAAATATTAATGTTCTGTGTACAGACAACATTCTTTCAACTAGAGCAAGGATGGCCAACCTGTGGCACATGCGCCATAAGTGGCGCATTGGATGCTTACAAGTGGCACATTGCATCCTTTTGATGAAAAGAAACTAAGCCACTTCTACTCATTCATTTCAGTGATTTTTATATTTATTGCACAACTTATATTTATTTCAAAACTCCTGGATACGCCCCTGGTCATAAGCATATATTTTTCAAATAGATAGATTTTATTATAACTTTAAAATATGTCCATATTACAACATGTACTGAAAGGAAGTGAATGTTTGTGTGGTGCATTTAAATTAATCGTACAAAATATTGGCGCATGGAATCAAAAGGTTAGCCACCCCTGAACTAGAATCTGACATATACAATCAGGAAGAAAGTTTCACCATTGTCATCAGTGATGGCAGACATAGACATGGAATACTTTGAGGAAATGACTTTAGAAATGGTATGGCTGAGATATATAGATGACACCTTCATATACTCTGGTTGCACCAAAAAGCTGTACAGATACTGCAGGGCTATATGACCTCAATAAGACTTTTTTTCTTTTCTCATCTGATCTCATATTGTCATCTCCTGTAGTTGTTTTTCCATTTTTGCCCCTTTTAATTATGTCTGTTTTTATTGTTTTAATTAAATTTCCATGGATGGAGTACATAAGCAACAAGGAAGTCTTACAGAAAATGGCAGCAGAAAGAACACTTATACTCAGAATCAACAAAAGATGGCTGAAATTCCTTGGACATAATAAGGAAGGAAAACTTAATCCACAGGGGGCATATTGAGGGCAAGAGATAGGGGAAGGCAGCGAGCTTTTGTGAATGGATAGTGGACAGGGGACCTTAGCAAAGGGTGTGGGACTGCTAAGAGCCAAATGAGATCGGCAATCATAGCTCTCCACAACTTCCTATGTCCTGAAGGGATGTGGTACATAGAAGTATAAGATCTTTAAATATTCATTTTCATGTTACAATTCTACAGTTTCACAATACTTTGGATGTCAATTTAATTTTTCAAACTTCCTATACTAACTAAACTTCTTTTTTATCTTCTCAAATTTCCTATCAACAAGCATTGACCATGTTTATCTCAGGCAAATTTATGCTATGCAAGTATATTAAACCTTTTTAAAATTTTAAATACATTTTCTCTTCACTGCAATTTGTTTTTATTAGGTTGGGAAGAAAGTCTTGTAGGTTTTTTGTTGAGGCATATAATTATTTTTAATAATCAGTTATAAATTCAACTAAAAGTTTCCTTCATTTTCAATGGCAGCAAATTCATGCTTCAAGCATAACATTCTTGAGATTTTGAGGCAAAAACCATCTGTCTTTTTTTTTAATTTCTTCATAATTGGTGACCTATTTCCTGCCCAGGAAAAGATGTCAATCTAATGGAACAAGGTGAGAAGAGTAAAGTGGATGAGGAAAACTTCTATATTCAAAGCCCACATATTTTCCTGTGTGCATTTTTTAACACGTAGTCTTGCATTGTCTTGAAAGAAAAGTCCACCTTTCTGATTGATCTGTGAAGCTCACTTTTTCAACAAGATTGATGTTGGTAGTGCTTTCATTTGGCTACAATATCCCTTAGCACTGATGGTTTCATTACAATTCAATACTTAATATTTCACCACAAACTGCACATTATGTTCTCAGGGTATAATCTTGGTTTTGGTAGAAGAACAGGTTTTTCCTTGGGTTGTAACCATTGTTTGCTTTGCTGAATATAATTATAAAGGAATTGCTTTTCATCACTGGTGACAATCCTTTCCTGAAATGACCAACAAATGTTGACATTGATTAATTTGAGAACCAGTCAAATCATTGGCCGAGTTTAGGCACTTTACCAGGTTCATGGAAGTGGTTGATAATAGTTGTATGGTTTGTATTGAACTGTTGTGCCATTTTTCATGCAACCAGATGAGCAGACTGATTCAAATAGTGAAGCATATAATAAAGATAATTCTTTATCTCATCTCAAAAATTTCTTAAATCAATTTTATGCAGGAGGAACTGTAGAAAGAGGAGTAAAGCACAAACAAACACAAAAAAGGAAAATGTGATAAAAAGTAGCCATTTTCAAAAATTGTCAAAATGCTTGTTATTTTGTCATTTCTTTATACAAGTCCTTGCCATTTTTTATTAGGGAAAAAAAGCTATACAGCAAATTTGACATACTGTTCATCCTCAAAGTGATCTCCATTGGCATTTATAACCTTTTTCCCAACATGCCTCCAGCTGCACAATGCCTTAGCTATAAAAATCAGGTATCTTGGTTGCAAAGAAGTCTGTCAATGCCTGCTGCAAGTCTGCCTCATTTGTGAAGGATTTCTCATGAAGGTGGTTGTTCAGGAAATGGGAGAGATGGTAATCTGTTTGCACAAGGTCTGGAGAGTAAGGTGAATAGCACAGTGTCTCCCAACCAAGTTGCCATATAGTATTGCTCACCACTTGCACCACATGAGGTCTGGCATTATCATGGAGGAACAATACACCCTTGCAATTCACCAATGTTGGCTCCTGTTTCAGTACCTGTTGCACAGGTTCCAGCTGCTGCAAGTACAGGTCTGCAGTGATCGTTTGGCCTATTTGTAGCAGCTCATAGTCCACCACTTGTCGACTAGTCCATATAAAGCATGATCTTGCGTGGGTGTAGAGGTGGTCTTGTAGTGTGAGGCAAAGGGTCCTGTTGTGACAACCAATGTCTGGCACACTTGGAATTTTCATACAGGACCCACTTTTTGTCACTGGTGAGCACTCTATCAAATATCTGTATGTTGCAGTGCCAAGAAAGCAAAGAGAAAAAGGTTGTCACTTGTTGATTGTTAGCTTCCAACAGTGTGTGTAGTATCCACTTGTACACCTCCTCGATGTAATGCAGATGAAGTCTTTCATCTGAAACCTGGAAGCATTTGGCTGTTGTCCTCCTCCTATGGCTGTCTCCAGGGCCTCATTATCTAGGACCTATGCAGGTTTCATCACAAACCTGAACTTCTGGAACCAGTGCCTCACAGTGCATTCACTGACAGCATTATCTTCAAAGGCTTGACATATTTGGCGACTTGATGAAACGGTGGACAAGTCCACTGTAAAATCATAAAGCGGACAACACTGAACGAGCTGCTTCAACACTGGCATATTTCCTTGCTATTGCTCAAACTATAACTGATGCATGTACACAACACACCTGCATTGGTCAAGTGCAATGCTGCCACCCTTAATGCTTTCCATGCATATGATGCACTCATTTGTGTATTTCTTCCCACACAATGTAAAAAAATGGCAAGGATATTTTTGTTTATCTTATTTTGATTGTGTAACTAAAAGCAAAATGAACTTAATTTTTCTTTTTCTTTCTTAAATTTTAATTTCCAGGTTTTGTGTTTAGTGAACATGAGGCAACTGCCCTTATCCAACATGAAGGAGGTCCTTGTGCTGTAATTGCCCCGGTGCAGGCTTTCCTCTTGAAGCATGCCTTATTTTGCTCGGAGGAAGCTAGTGAGAATTTGGATGTCTCTGGTAAGTTATGGTAAAAGAGAATTTTCTTCCTAGGCTTACTATTTTCAACTAACATCAAACTTGCTTATGATTTCCCATTCACACAAATTCTGTACCACATATAATTTTGCATTTCACTTGAATTGTGGTAAGGAAACAGCAAAGCAGAAATTTCATCCCATCTTGTTCATTACTAAAGGCTCATTAAAAAGAAGGAATACAATTAATTTAAGAAATCAATAAAAAAAATAAAGTTATTATTTTGCATGAATTGATATAAATTTTTTGACTGGTATTTTTTCATCTTATTTACGTTACTTTTTATCGCAACTCTAAACTAAACACTCCACGATAATTATGTAAGCACCATGAATTTGAGTTTTGATAAAAAGCAAGAGAAATAAGATGAAAGAAATGCCAGTTAAACATTAATAATTAACACTAATTCACTGAAGAAATTTAGAATCTTTTTTTCTTTCTTTTTTTTACTAATGTTCACCCAAGACAAGGCTCGAGAGCCACTCAAGGTAGAGATTTACTGTGTGGAGTTGTATTAGCATAAGAAAGAGCAAGAAGTCAAGTTTTTGGGTCTATGCAGGAAATTAACAGTTAATTCTAGACTTAAGATTTAATTACTGAATAACATTTCAGAGTTCTGTCGGAGACATTAGAAATATAGTGTGGAAGTAGACTTTAGAAGGAACCAAAAACCCAATCCTAAACAAGAAACAAGGGATAAATCTCTGCTCCTGTTCAAAAGACCAGGGAGGAGTATAAACGAGACAATAGGTGAACTTATCTCTTTGTTTAATAATACTAGAATAAAAATAAAAAAATAGTAAGCAAACGGTAGTGGCATATGATGTCTTGTGAAGTCAGGAATATAGATATATGGTTATATTTGAATGCTTTCTGCTAAAACTTTGTAGCCTAATCAGTAAATCATTGTCACAGAAAGACTGGTTTCCAAAGATAAGAGGTTCAGTTAAATCTCACCAGAGGCTTATTCAAGTGCAATGTCAATCGACATCTCCAGATGCCTTGATCTATTCCACGCCCTCTCTTCATCCTTTTTACTCTTGATCCCACTCTCTGTAACCCCTTGCATGCTAGTGGCCCTCCTAACTTGCTTGGGGTGAAATGCTTAAAAAAAACTATTATTTCTGATCTGCATTGCTTAACAATTTGTAGAATAATGATCAGGGACTTGTGATAGAAAGCAACAAAATTAAAATACTAATAAAAAAAACTACTAACTTATTATACTTTGTGTAAGAAATTTGAATCCTATTAACTTTTATATTAATTAGTCAAATGTAGTATGAAAGAGAAATGAATAGCTTCATTCTATACTACTGGATACCAAATAGAAAGGTAAGTTATAATAAGTGGAGGGTAGTGGAAGAAATCAAGAGATGTGATAAATGAGAGAGATGCCAGTAAATAGGATAATTGTTGTGAAATGATTAAAAGTTTTTTAAACTATAACAACACCTTGAAGAAATAAAACCTAAAATGGATGACCAATGTTTTTAAGCAAAATGCTTTAACAAAATTGTAAATATTTCTTTTACTTAATTTCTTTTACAATATCTATTTTCATGACACGCTCAAATAGTGTGCCATAAAAATAGATTTTGTTGGCATTTCCATTGATGTATATTTCTTGCTCTGCTTTGTATTGTTTGTGAAGTTGTCCCAAAGTTCTTCCTTCTCATCTAAACTATATTTTTCATTTGTTGGACATACAAATTGTGATCCAATCATGTTGAATATTTTTATGCTTATACAGTTTATAGTTTAAATGAATCGAACGAACATAAGACATTTTATTAAAAAAAAAGTTTGCAGTGTAATGGTTTCCCACCATAGTAGGGTGACAGGGACTAATTAAAAATCAATAAGGAAGATCCTAATAAGTTCTGGTGTGGGATTGGAAAAATATACAAAAATTACCAATTGGGAAAACATTTATTTGGCACCAAAGAGTAAACATTAACATTTGATGTATTATTTCATATATAATTGTTGTGAAGTGTGATAAGTAAGATCTTGTACTTGAGTGACTTTCTCATTAATAGTCAGACATTTTTTTTACAGTGTGCGATGGGTAAATTGTCGTCATTTTATATTTTTCATTTCATGCATGCATGTTGTTTGTTTTTGATTTTGTCAACTGCACAGTATAGTAGGGTCAGTTGGGCACCGTCTGTGAGAAAAAGAGCATCATGATGCAATTCACTCTACCAGAAATTTGGTAATGACATGCTGTACTGCTTGGCATTTGCACCGGAAGCTCCAATACGAACATATCAGAGTGCTTTGGTGTCAATCTGAGGACAGTGCAGAGGATTTGGAAAGAGTTGGATGAGTCTAATGGTGATTACGAAGGTGTTTGAAGTGACCACTAGTGATGGCGATGTTATGCCTCCAATCATGTTCCCATAGGGCCTCAGGTTCAGCATGAAAGCCTACATCAAGTGCCTTGAGGAAGTAGTGCTGCCCTGGGTCAAGAGGGTGGCTGCTGGAAGACCCTATGTCTGGCAACAGGACTCTGCACCATGCCAAACAAGTAGGAGAACCCAGTCATAGTTGTCAGGCAATTTCTGTGACCACATCACCCCTTGCCAGACTGCAACCCCCCTTCATTATTATGTGTGGAGTGCAGTTAAGCAAGAGACCAACAAAACTTTTGTAACACCAAGGATGAACTTAAGGCAAGGATTATTCACCAGTATTATACAAGAAGACCATCCAGAAGAGTTGCAGGAGATTCTGAAGTCATCTGGAAGCCATAGTAGAAGCCAATGGTGATTTTTATTGAATAAATTTACACTTTTAGTATTTCAAGATATTTTTGTTTAATTTTGGCAAATATATCTGTTAAAATGAGATGACAGTGTTGTTTTCATTTTTGCATAATTTAAATGATAATCTATCCATCGCACCCTCTGACTTAGTAGGCAGTGTGTCTTGCTTGCTCATTTCTGTTGAACTGGGGAAATTCCCTATACCATCTCATATTATTTTAAAAGTTCTTTGGACTATCGAATTCTCTCTTTATGTTGCTTTTGTTAGCACAACATTTTGGCAGTTTCATTCTTCAGCTTTCTTCAGATGTATGATCTGTAGGCAAAGAAGTGATTCCATATTTATACACAAGGCTGTTATTTCCTTGTTGAATGGAGAAAACTTTTCTGAATTGAAATTCACACTGATATCATTTGAGTCTCCTGTCTGCCATCTTGTATGCCTCTTTTTTTGAATTTTCTTATTATTGGGCAATATTTCCTGATTATTTGGACTTCAGAGAGAATAATGTGAACTCTTTTTTTCAAATATGTTCTGCTATATCAAATTTTTCTAATTCTCCTTTGAGTATAACTTTGTTCTGTCTCCGAGAGTACACGTCCGCGTAATATGTGTGTGTAATCTCAAAGACAGTCAGGTAAATGCCTCAAGGCAATTAAAATTCTGAAGAAGACAAAGTACCGTACATTGGCAGGTTTATTAATAACCAAAAGGCTAAAACTAAAAAAAAGAAATTAATACATATAAATAAGAATAGTTGGTCTGAAAATACAATCAAGGGTAATGAGAAATATGGCAAAAGCAATCAGAGGATTGAACATGAAACTAAGACCATTTGTCTAAATGATTAAAGAAAGGTAGCAAATGCTTCCTTTACATGAATATGTATAAAGTTTGCTACAAGAATACATTCCAATGTTGTGGTGAGTTTGTGGAAAAAGAAGTTAGAGAAAGGTTACATTTTGCAACAGTGTATGTGAACATATGTTGAAAATGCTCTATACAGAGAGATACAAATATATAAAATATGGCGACTTTAAACAAATGTTCAAATAATTACATGGAAATAAAATAAACAAATGTAGAAAATTATTAAAAGTTACAAACCAATGATGGTTAACTTTGGGTGTGAGATCAGTGGGATAAAACCACTGACCATGTACTCTGTGTCATGCCTTTATTGTAAGGGGTTCTTCGTGATATACTAAGGGATAACTGGAAGGGGTCAAAATGGTGACTAAACTTAAAAAGGGGGACAAAGAGGAAATAAAACAATACAGTTTCTTTACTGTGATAACAGAACAAGCTTCCTTTTTTCTTTTCTTTTTTTTTTTTAAAGTCTCTCAAGTATGACAATGAGAATTCCTTTCCTATTGCAAGGGATGTTGTGTATGCAAGCAATATTTTTTTTGATGCATTTCTCTCATGAAAAAGCAATTCAAATAAGGAGGTTGTAAAGTAATGTGATTTTTGGAAAACTACTTGAATTTGTTCAGTCACTTCTCTTCGCTGTAGTTTCTGTTGCTATGAACAAAGAGTGAATCAGTATATTAATAATAACTATTTTCTGCTCTCTGTTTCAAGAAAGAGACTCTTTCCTTATGGATTTGATGCTCAAAGAAAGCTGTGCAAATGTATTAGTTGAAAGATAGGACAAAAGTAACAATAAGAATGAAATCACTCTTGGAATTATAATGTACCTTTTTAAAATTTTAAACATTATCAGTAGCTGTATTCATGATTTGAAATTAATGTAAATTTTTTTTTTGTTACTTGTGTGCAAATTCAATTGCCTGTGAACATTTTAATTGGCTAAACAATCAAAGTGAAGCTAACATTTTATTTTCTGAATATTAAACAAATTTTCTTTTCTCTTTTCACAGAGGAGCTTGCAATATCATTTCTAATTCATGGTCTTATTGAGATGCTACTGCAGTTATCAACAGAGCGTTATATTATTGTGACTTTAGATAAGGGCTTTCGTACAGCAGCCATTTCAGACAGCAATGGATCCACAGGCAGTGTTGAGTCAGAGGCTGGAAGCACGAACCCTAAACGAGCCAGAATGGACAAGGAAAACTTTCATTCCTATTTAAGGTAACATACACAGTTTCTCTAACTTCACTTAATTTCATTTTAGATCTCATTAGCATTAAAACTGTTGAGGTCCCACACTTTTTCTTTTTTCCTCTTTTATTGATAGCTTTTTTTTCTTTTCTTTTTTCCTGATTGGCACTTAATTCACAGATGTTCAGACATGCTGATTTTTTCTTTTCTTTTTTTTTTTTTCCTCCTTTTCTTTTCTTTTTTTTTTTTTCCTCCTTTTTTTTTTTTTTTTTTTTTTTTTTTTTTTTTTTTTTTTTTTTTTCCAAATATATTTGAAAATTATATGATGGTTGAAGTTCACACTATAAGACACTACACTATAAGCAGGTTATGACTATCAAAATAGACTGTCAGTAGTATAAAGGCAATGTCTTCATTTAATTGCCTAATACTAATTAAAAATTTTTTTTTTTTTTTTTTTTGTAGCTTCTAAGTGTAGTTTCATCAAATATTTAAAGACTCAATCCTAAACCGGAAACAAGGGATAAACTTATAATTCCTGTTCAAAAGACCAGGAAGGAGTGTGAACCAGGCAATAAGCAAACCTATCTACACCTTTTGATTTTTAGAATATAACTATGTTTATCTTTATTCTTATTAATTTAGTATGCACATGATACTGCATATAAAACTAGATTTAGGCATGAATATCATGCAAAATGAACATCTAACAAAATATATGGTCAAAATTTAAGGAGCTATATATATACACACACACACACACACACACACACATACATTTTAGCTTTGTTATTCTTGGTGACTGCAAAAAAGCACTTTTGATTCCCTCAGCAATGTTTATTTACAAGATTATAAAAATATGTGAACCAAATACAATGTGATATTTATTTTAAAAATTAAAAAAGAATGTATAGAAGATCTGCTGATAGATTAAATAAGCAATTTAATAAATAGTGTTTAACATCTTTGTTGTCAATTCTCAAGAATAAAGATAATGTATAAATCCACTTTCATATATTTAGGTTTTATTAAAATTCTAAGCATTGCTTTTTAAAACAATAAACATTGCTGAGAGAGTTAAAAGTGTATACAGTAATAGTGGTGTCAAGAGAATAACTGTCATTTTGTCACACTTTTTTCTTTTCTTTTTTTTTGGCAGGCATGAAAATTAAACATTGCCCATATTTTCTTTACAAATACATATAGATGTAATACACACTGTTTAATAAATACAAATGAGGTGTCTATTTCAAATAGACGTGTATGAAGTAATAAAAATGTCTGATAACAAATAAATCCATTAATTCTTTAGAAATTACTTTGTTTTAGAAATGAGATTGAGTAAATATTGGGACTCGAGAAAAATGATCTTGGGGAATGGTATGTGTTTTCCTTAAATTGGGTAAAAAGAGCCATGGTGAAGTTCGAATGTGCAGGCCAAAAGTCATAATACACACTGTTTAATAAATAAATTGGAGCGTCTATTTCAAATAAGAAGTGCCCACTATAATAATGTTTTAAGTAATATATCTTACAATATGCAACATCTCGTTTGGAAATTAGAAAAATTTAATAAAAAGTCGGATAGACTTTTTTGGTTGAATTTAACAAAACTTATTTGGATGAATTCTTGCTGCCTAAATACACCTTATATTATCTAATAAGAGTGTATCTGTAAAAAGACAATATAAATAAAGACAAAAGGAACATTTATCTTCACCAAAGTATTTTGTACTCTGATGGATATTTGCCTTGATAAAGTCTCTCAGAGGACGGAATGTGTTGGCTAAGATAAGTTTTCCTTTTGTCTTTTTTCATAAATATATTGCGCATATAGTTCTCGGCTAATACATACATACATACATACATACATGTGTGTGTGTGTATATATATATATATATATATATATACACACACACATACATACTTCACTGTGCACATCCAGAAATTAGATCAACATGTCTGCAGCCTCAACATATCTTTTTAAACAGACTTAGATATATCCCTCTTTCTTTTCCTTCCAAGCTTTGTATACCTCTTCTCTTCCCCACTCCACATCTCCCTTCTCTACATTACCATCTCCCTATCTGGATACCTACCCTTTTGTCTTCTCCCCTCACCCTATTTTGAATCTGCATATTTAAACATAATTTATGTTCAGATTATTTTTTTAAGCCTGGTAAAACTCTTTATCCATTTATTTGTTCAGTCTGATGAGTTGGAATCTAACTTTCAATTCTAATGAATTAAATAACACCATGCTCTTCATTTTCATGATAATTTTTTTTATATAATGTGTGTGTGTGTGTGTGTCACTTTCCCACCACTGTAACATGCTTCCCTGTGCCTTTTCTATAAATATTTTCATGGTCATTGTTCTGATGATCTTTCCTCTTTAATACCTTGACTTTACAGATTTAAGTACAGTACTAGATTGGGACAGGAAGTTGTGGAGAGCCATGATCACCTATATCCTGAGGGGACACGGCACATAAAGAAGACTAGATTGGCAGCATGGTTTCATCATTCTATAGTTGAAATGGTTAGATGTAACTATAAGTTCTATACTAATAGTTTCTTCTCTCACTAGTGGAACTCTCTTCTGGCTTCTTACTTCCCAGTCAACTTTGATCTTCAAAAGTTTAAATGCAATGTCAATTGTTATCTTCCAATTTCTTAATTCTTCTTTTATTGTGCTCTCTCCTGAGTTTTTCTTTTTCTCATATTCTTTCACTCAGTAACCCATTGTATCTTAATGGCTTTATTGCCTTGCTTGAGGTGAAATGATTAAAACATATATCTCTTAAAGAAAAAGTATTGAATAATCAATTAAGTAATAAGTGATCATATAAGAAGAAAACATCTAAAATTATGTATATTTTAAGATCTATTTTCAATTAGTCATTAAATGTTTTTATTAATAAAAAAAAATAGGAAATGTATATTTTTTTTTTTTTTTTAAACATCAAAATATTTAAAGAAAAATCAAGGATTGTTTTCCAAATAAAACAGGAAAGATATGTCCTTTTTTTTCCCCGGATTTCTCTTTACTAATAATGTGCTAAATCAATATAAGAATGTTTCTATTGGCAGCTGCTGAATTTTTCGCCCACCTTGATCTCGTAGAAGATTTGAACATTGCCATACACTCTCTTTAGTTTCTTTTTAAACAATTTTCTTCAAACACAGTTTATTTTTATTCATGTTAAGATCATATTTAATTAAGAAAAGTTGAAAGAAAAATATGTTTTATGAATTGCCTGAAAATTCAAGTTACGACCATATTTAGAGAATGACTGAACTGCTCCTGCAACAGTTAGTGGGTTAAACAATGAAAAATGTGTAGACTGAAATGTTGGATGATACATTGAACAATGCTTTAATATCTATTACACAAGTGTGGAATCTTTTTTCAAATAATATTTTTTTACGCCCTTCTTTTTTTATTTTCCTTCTAAACAATTTTCTTTGTGATGGTTTATTTTTTATTCATGCCCTTTAAGATCTTATTCAAATAAGAACAATTTATAAAGAAAATGTTTCTTTGTCTTCAAAATTGAATCTACCAATGCTTTTGGAGACTGACAACTGAGCTGCTCATTCCATTAAATATGTTACTTTTGAAATGATATTAGGGTGAGCACAGAAACCAGCTTCATTTCTTAGACAAATGAACTGTTATAAACACAAAGAAGACAGGAAGTTAAAACCTGCTATATTTTGTGTGTTTTCCTTTCAGGTGTCATGAATGTGCTGACGCAGAACAGCTAAAGGCTTGTGTGAAAGAAAAGATTTCCTCATTCACTTCTGACTATGGAGTCTTACTTTTCCTCTACTCAGTTGTCTTGTCTAAGGTAGGTTCCTTCTCTAAATGCATGTAACCATAGTTATTGATTGATTGATTCATTTTCTACAGCTTATCAACCCTTTGCAGGTTATTTAAAGCCAGAAAATATTTTTAGATTGTATGATTTTTTTTTTTTTTTTTTTTTTTTTTTTGAGATTATAATGATTTAGTGATACAAGTCTTACTAATAAACCTATAGCTGGGAGAAGATGTGGATCCATACTTTTCCCCAGGGTACCTGCATGTAAGTGAATATAATAAGCCTAACCAGTATTGGAACTCAGCTCTCTGATTAACCATTTGTTGGGGTGCACTCACCTTCTGACTGATAATGGACTTATCCCTCTACGATATAAGTCAGTGCTAGAGAGAATAGTTGTGTAGTGTGAAGGATCAGGTTACCATTACATACTGTTGGACTGTAGACTTTTGCTATTGTTACTTACTAACCGGCGTTCCTTATTACTAATCACTCTGTTGTTATTACCTCTTACAAATATACCAGTATTTATCCCTACAACTGTGTTTGTCTTTATTCGAATACACACACATGGGGAACACTCCCAACAACTCAACAGTGATGACGAGGCTTCAAACGGGGATAAAAAGAACCTACATTGAAAAATAAATATCACAACAGCGAAAGAAACGATTTTTCAACTCAGAAAAATTCAAGAGTTCAAGCATTTTTTCACAGCAAAGGATTGAAAAGTTTATCGACAAAAAGAAAAAAACTGTAAGTTAGACATTAACTTATTGATCAAATTGGAATCTTTAATAACCAATTTATTGTGCTAAAAAAAAAAAAAATTTTTGTCGTGCCAGAGAATTGGATTAATTTTTTGGCCCCCCTCAGAGAAAAAAAAAAATACACACATAATTTTGCTTTCTTTTTTCTCTACACATACATAATCATGGAGCAATTTCAATCATCTATGCTGGAACTCATTAAGTATCAGATGCAATGACAACAAGAGAGTGAAGAACGTTTTCAGGAAAAACTATTGAATTTTCAGAAAATACAAGAAAATGAAAAGAAACGGTTAGCAATGACTGAACTTATACATAAAGCTATACTGTCTAAGCAGAAAGACTCGGATGAAAGTACTTTTTCTCAAGACACAATATGATCGACGATCGAAAGTTTTACCTATAACCCAGAAGAGGAAAAGACTTTCGAAAGATATTACCATAGATATCAGGACTTTTATGAAGTCGATTGCCAAACATGGACAGACGAGAAAAAGATAAGATTATTACTACGAAAACTGGGAACGGCAGAACATAGCAAATTTGCGGACTTTATATTACCCAAAAAGACAAAGCAATTAAATTATTAAAAGAGCTCTTCAACCCCAGATTTTCATTATTTCACAAAAGGTGGAATGCCTTAATATTCAAAAAAGCGAGCAGGAAGACTACACGACGTTCGCGTCAATCGTAAATAAGACATGTGACGATTTTCGTTTGTCCGAATTATCGGCGGACAATTTCAAGTTTCTAATATTTGTGCTAGGCTTAGTGTCTAAAAAAGATCGCGAAATGCGAAGACGCATTTTAGCAAAGCTTGAAAATGACCAAAACATGACACTACAAAAGCTAGCCAGGTACTGTCAGAAATGCGTAAGCATTAAGCAAGATTCAGAGAAAATAGAAGAAACTGCTATCGCAAATGTGAAGAAAGTATATAGGAAGACTCGTTTCCGTTCTCCATCGCCTGAACGGAAGTGGTATCCTACTACAAGAATAAACAGAGACTATAGAAAAAAAACTCCCGAGTGCATGTTATGGATGCGGCCAGTGGCACTGGTACAATGACTGTCCATATAAAAATAAAATTTGCAGAAATTGCAAGAAAGTAGGACATAAGATGTCCAAGTGTAGAAAATTAAACAGAAGTCGAGTGAAAGCTACTAAGTCAGACGAAGATCAAGACCGGAATATTCGAAAATACCTACATGTAAAAATGTACAACAAGAAGGTAAAAATGCAACTAGATTCAGGATCTGACATTTCGATTATTAACACACAAACATGGAAAAATCTAAGAAAACCAACTCTGCTAAAGTCCAACAAAATAGCCAGGACGGTAACTGGAAAAATGATAAAATTTGAAGGTGAAATATGGGTGAATATAACTTTCAACAGCAAGACTTTAAAAATGAAAATTTTTGTGATGAAAAACACAAACAACTTGTTTGGGACTGACGCAATCACTAAGTTCAATCTATGGGACGTGCCCATTAATTCTTTTTGCAATAACATTAGTGAAAGCAAAGACAATATAAACAATTTAAAAACAGAGTTGAAAATTGCATTTCCTGAAGTCTTGGACGTTGCACTGAAGCATCAGCAAAAATACAGCTGAAGAAAAATATTCAACCAATTTTTAAGAAAAAGCGTAGCATCCCTTTTGCCGCATTAGAGAAAATTGACCAAGAACTCGAAAGACTTACAAGAATTGGTGTGATCTTGAAAACGGAATACAGTGACTGGGCAGCTCCAGCTGTCTATGTAAAGAAGAAGTCGGGTAAAATTTGCGTCTGCGCCGATTTTTCAACCGGACTAAACGACGTACCACTATCCACTACCAAGTCCCGAAGAAGTGTTCACAAAGTTAAATGGCGGAAAAATCTTTTCGAAAATAGATATTAGTGAGGCATACTTGCAAGTACCCATGAATAACGAAAGCACAAAGTTGCTATGCATTAACACGCATAAAGGCTTGTTCAGATACGAACGTTTACCATTCGGGGTGAAGACAGCACCCGCAATATTCCAGAAAATTATGGATACTATGTTATCTTGGTTAGACTACATGATAACATATCTCAACGATGTACTCATGAAAAGTGAATCGGGGGGATGAACACAAACACCATTTACGCAAAGTTTTTGAAAGGTTAAGAAGCTATGGATTTCGAGTGAAAGAAAATAAATGCGATTTTCTCCTGGAGGAGATCAAGTATCTGGGACATATAGTGAATAAAGAAGGAAAAAAGCCAGATAAAAGTCGAGCATCAGCAATAAAAGATATGCCTGAGCCAAAGGATATTAAATCCCTACAAAGATTTTTAGGCTTGGTGTCATATTACCAGGATTTTATCCCAGACCTCCACATTCTATGAGCTCCCCTTAATGATCTACTAAAAAAAGAGAAACCTTGGATTTGGACAAAAGAATGCGAGCAAGCATTTAAGGATATAAAAGAAAAACTGACATCAGATTTATTTCTGGTACATTTTGATCCAAAGGTAGATTTCATTGTGGCGAGCGATGCCAGTACACACGGCGTAGGGGCATGCATATTGCACAAGGATGGTAAAGTTCGACCGATCGCTCATGCAAGCAGATCGCTACTACCTGCTGAATGAAATTATTCACAAATTGAGAAAGAGGCATTGGCAATTATCTTCGCTGTAACAAAATTCTATCGATACATACATGGACAGTATTTCACGCTACAGACAGACCACAAACCTCTGGTAACGATATTCGGTTCAAAAAAGGGTCTGTCAACATACACAGCAAATAGATTGCTTAGGTGGGGGACAATTTTGTTAAATTATAATTTTAGAATACAATATTTGTCCACCCACAAAATTGGTCACGCAGATGGGCTATCAAGACTCATTCCAAAGGCAACAGAACCTTTAGAGGATACGGTAATCGCATCCCTTGGAGCAGAGGACGAGGTTGAAGAAAATTTGGCGAACGCAATTCGAGAATTACCAGTATCGCTTAAGGACATCAAAAAAGAGGCAGAAAAGGACAAATGTATAATAGAAATAAAAGATAAGCTAGCTAGTAAAGATGAAAAAATTCAAGAGACATTCTCTCTGTGCGATAATGTACTAATATACAGTGAAAGGGTAGTAATCCCTAGCACTCTCCAAAAAAGAATACTAAAAGATTTTCATGCTGGTCACCCGGGCATAAATAGAATGAAGAGCCTCATGAGAGCATACATCTACTGGCCAGGTATGGACAACGACGTCGCGTCTATGGTCGGCAGATGTAAAGGCTGCATTTTGGCATCAAAATCACCACAAATTCTACAGAAGCCATGGCCAAAAATCGACAGGCCATGGTCAAGGATTCATATTGATTTTGCAGGTCCAATTGACGGGTGGCATTATTTGGTTGTAGTTGACAGCTTTAGTAAATGGCCCGAAGTTTTCCAAATAAAGAGGCCAACATCTCAAAATACAATTAATAAATTGCATGAATTATTTGCAAGGTTTGGAATGGTAGATACTGTGGTTAGCGACAACAGTACTCAATTCACGAGCAAAGAATTCGCAGAATTCTGCCAAAATTTCCAAGTTGATCACGTGAGGATTCCTCCGTATCACCCACGCAGCAACGGACTAGCCGAAAGGTTTGTCGATACGCTGAAAAGGGCTCTTAGGAAAGCAACAGGTACCCTGACTAGAAAGGCGTTACAGCTATTCCTGCAAGTATACTGCATTACTCCGAATAAATCTGCCCCATCAAGCGGAGATAATGTTTAAAATTTATGAAAATATTCTAAGTAATGTTTATTGAATTTTAGGTACTTTGACTTTAAATTTACTATAGTTATCACTCTTATTTTCTGATAATGTCATGCATTGATGTACGTATTTACAAAAATCAGCATGCTTATACACCCAAAAATTTCAAAATTCTTTTTAAAATACTGGCAGTTGCTCAATTATAGTAAGATTTTTCATGTATAATTAGTAAATACAATTTTTACTTATTAACAATATCACTTAACTGGTACAAATTAATACAGAATTTTAAAACTTAAAACATAAATTCTTCTAATTAAAATTTAAAAAAAATGGAAACAATTCTTGTAAAAATTCATTATTCATCAAAAAAATATTTTTCTTAAGACAATAGTGTCAATAATATATCTTATTCATAAATGCAATTAAAATCTTTCTAATTAATGTTTTAGTTTTATTGCATTTTTTATTTTACAATTCAGAGCAGATTTTTGGTAACTAGGAATCCTGTTTTACAACAAAAATTTGATTTAAATTCTCCAAGTAGTTCTGCATATGACTAATATAAACATTAAGTGGTACAAAAATGAATTTCTCAAAAGTTCATAAAATTAAACAATTGGGTTGTTTAACAGATGTCAAAAAAAGTTTTTATCAAAAAAAAGAATACATTTCTAAAATAATTTCAACCATTTGTGAATAAGTCCTGAAAGTTTCATTAAAATCCAACAATTATTTGATTTTTGTAAGAATTTCCAAATCAATGTGTTAATTTTCTTGCTTATCTTTATCTTAATTTTGAAATGTTCCAAACCATTGTGTTTTTCACTGCAAAAAAGACTCTAAAATTTCCTATACTAATTTATGGTCATCTGTTGATACGAGAAAATTAATTGTTAACCAAAATTTCAAACATACTAAAAAAGATCAAAAAATATAATTTAATAATCAAAAATCCTTTGGTCTTTCCGCTTAATAATAACAAAAATTTTGATGGTAAAACTTTGTTTTTATTATTAAGTTTGAGTTTTTTTTATTATTTATCATTTATGCTCATTTTTTAGTGAATCTTTGGAGATATAGCCCACCTAATTTATCTGTATTTGAAGTTGTTTGTCAAGAAAGAACTTTTTGATATGGATTACTGAACTTAAATGTTATTTCATTTGGATAACTTCTTTTAGCTTGCAACAATGGAAAAATGATTCCAATATTGCATTATATTCTTGTTGATTTAAGATATTACTAACTTTTGTAACAGATTTAAAACCTCCATCTTACATTTTCCACTGACATGAAGTAGAACAATTATATCAAATCAATGATGTGAGGAAAGATGGTTCACTGTATCATTCTAGACATTTTTTTTCTCACCAGAATCTTACACCTTTGTAAGTCTACCATTTGTCTGTGTATTGAGTAATGCTGTCACATCTATTCTGCTGTCCTGTTATTTATTTCAAGATTCATGACAAAATCCAAAGAAGAATCTACAATGATATTGGCCTTGACCTGGCATCTCGGCTTCACTTATTTTCCCACCATTGTAACATAACTTCACTGTGCCTTTTCTATATATATATATATTTTCATGGTAATTGTTCTGATAAACTTTCCTCTTTGATCTCTTGCCTTCACAAATTTAATTGTAGTGCTAGTTTGGTAGCTAGGTCTCATCATTTTACTGTCGAAATTGCTAGATTTAAACATGACTTCTGTACTAACAGTTTCTTCTTTTGCACTTCTTTCTCTTCCAGCTTCTTGCTTCTCTATCAAATATGCTCTTCAAAAATTTTAATGCAATTTCAATCATAATCTTTTGCCTCCTTGAATTGTGTTCTTTGCTCATTGCACGAAGGTTTTCTCAGTTTCTTTCACTCTCAGTAACTCCTTGCATCGTAGTGACTGTATCATCTTGTTTGATGTAAAATGATTTAAGAAATATTAGATGTCTTATTATTTTGACTAATTAAAGGAATATTTCATTAGCCTTAATCACTTTCTTTACTTTTTAGTCTAACATGGTAAGTTTGGTTGTATGTGAAATGAAAGGTTTACTGATTTTTGTTTATTTTCAATGAAATATTTCTTGGTTGTTTTTTCAGGGGATTGAACAGATAAAAAATGAAGTGGAAGATCCTAATGAGGCCCTCATTGATGGAACCTATGGACATGGCAGGTGAGGAATGCGATATTTTGGTTTTTTTTTTTTTTTTTACCTGTGTGTATGCCTGTTGATTAAAATACAACATTCTAGCAGATAAAAATAAACAACTATGGCTGGGCACTAATTCGTCTGTAGACAAAGCAAGTTGGGTGTCATCTCACTGTCATTTTAGAAACATACCAATTTGCCTAAAAAATTTGTAACCTTTAAAAAAAATGACAGGCTTTATTTGTCAGAAAAAGCCAACAAGACAATGGACTTCTTTTATTCAAAGGTTGCATTTATATATTTGATGTTGAAGTGAAAGAATGCAATGAATGATGATGTCAAGAGAAAAATAGTCATAGAAAGATTTTTTGAGACAATCACAATAATGTTGTAAAGAGAATTGAACCTTCACATGATGCTGATTTTGAAAAAAAATGTGAGATTTAAATTTTTTAATTTAATATTAAAATATTAGGAATGGAAAAAAATTTTCACTAAGAACACTTTTCTCTCATATTTTGAATTGATTTACATAGGAACATTTTCAAATGAAAACATTGTGAAACCATAATCTTCAATAAATTTCTGGTCATCCTATTCATGCATGCTTTTAAATGTTTAACAAATAATAAAGTCAAAGGATGGCAATAGAATATAAACAAAGACTATATAACTCATCATCCCTATATTACAAGATTTATTGAGCCAGTTAAAAGGCATGAAGACGAGAAAAGATTCAAGCTTCCACTGACATTAGTATTAATATTTCGCAGGCTGATTATCAAAAAGCAAATATTAAAAAAATTTTTTTTTTTTTTTTTTTAAAAAAAAAAATTTCATACCTTGGTGACAGTATGTAACTGGAAATTGAAATGAAAATTTAATTAAATTCTAATAAGTAAAAATTGTTATCACTGGAGACGAGTTGCCATTTGCCATTATTTTATTTATCTGCCCATGAGTATGTCTGTTGATGTTTAAAATACAGCCCTGCATCGGATAAAAGGAGACAAGTAGTAATAATTACTGGACAGCGACATGATAGGACAGGGTGTAACTCTGCTCAGTTAATACCCATGAGCAAGGAGAGGTTCTTTCCTTTGATTGTAAGTTGATGCAATCATTTATTACATTATCAGCTTCTGTGAAAAACTATTTTCTTGCTCAGTTATCAAAAGCTGTCAGGATTGGATAATAGCAGTCTGTTGTCTTTTTTTCAATGTAGTAGATTAAAAAAAAATAGATCAGTTATTATCATTCTGACCGTGGTCATTTCCTGGTACTAAAACAAATTATCTAGATAGACTTGATTGTTCAGCAATAATGTAATCTTAGACATTCCATATTTCTCTTCTGGTTAGATATCACTATTTTAGGTGATTTTTTTCAGAAATGTACATTAATTTCCCAAATGAGAGAAAGCGAGAATATTCAATCACTATTTATATACATTTATCCATATATATATATATATATATATATATATATATATATATATATATATATATATATATATATGATATAGCATTAGATATACTATATTTAGGGGTTGAAGTTCTCAATACCAGGGATAGGGTGCATGTAAATATAACTACTCATAATGCATCGCTGACCTGTTTATATAAATAGACAAGCAAAAACACAATGCACATGGTCTGGCGATTGCATTTAGCATGAAACAGACTGTTGCCACTGGGTGTTGACTCCAATGTCCACTGATATATATATATATATTTCCAAGTAGTAATTGACAGACTTATCAAATTTATATATAAATAAATTAGTACATAGTTGAATGAGGAAGAATCAGTATTGCTTTTGACATTTAAATGAAAAAAAAAACTTCTTAGTGTCAAAATTTAAACTCTGCTTTACCACTAAAAATATATGCAGAGGAATTTTTTCATAACATCTGTATTAATTTGTATGAGTAACTGTCATGTTCAAAGTTTCATCAATTCTAAATTATATTCATCCTAACTAGTTGAAAGAAAAGTTCTTGTTTTCTAAATCTAACTTGATTTAGAAACTGTGAGAACTTTGCTTCCAACCAGATATATAAAGGTATATATTATGAAATGGACTAAGTGCGACAATTATTTTAATATATTTTCTGTTTATACATTATTTTTATAGATACAAATAATTAAGTGAATGCTCTGTTTATAATAGTGTTAACAACATTTACTGGCTTGAATGTCCAAGAAATTTCATAGAAAATATATGTCCTCTGGCAAGAATCAAATCTGTATCCAACACAGAACTGTCATATAGCCTGAGAATATTCAATCACTAGTTAGCTAGGTCAAATTAATGAAATTATTATTATTTGTAGTTTAAAAATAGTAATTTGACCTTGCTAACAAGACGCTTCCTCTGTAGCTAAATAGTATAGCACATCAGGCTATATGATGGTTCCATGTAGGATACAGGTTCGATTCCTGTCGGAGGAACATTTTCTGTGAAATTTCTCTGATATTCAGGCTGGTAAATGTTGTTAATGCTGTTTATTATAAACAGAGCATTTACTTAAATATTTGTATCTATAAAAATAACATAAACAGAAAATATATTAATATAAAGTTAGATTTGGATAATTTCATCCAAACTAGTTTGTAAAACTCATATGACAAGTCTGATTAATTCGTTTTTTTTTTTTTTTTTTTTTTTTTTGTATTTTTCCAATTCTTTACTTAGATATTGTACATCAGGATCAAAATTATGGATCAACTGTCTCAAGTTCATGTCTTGTTCTGTTTCTGCTCAAGTATTTTTAACAGTCCTATCAAAAACTGTGTTAGTGTGACAGACAAGATTTTGCTGGCTATATCTTGGGCTTTTTTGTTTTTTTTTTTTTTTTTTTGTTTTTTTTTTTTTTTTAACACAGGGTTTCATATTAATACAAAGTGATAAAACAAATTTTATTAAACTCAATCTTTTTTATTTAATTTTGTATTTTATTTTTCCAGTTTCTAAATAAGTTGTTGCTCATCTAGATAAAAATTGTGGAAAACTGTCCCAAGCTCACACTTTTGTTGTTCAAGTACTTTCAACCATCTTAGACATTATCAGGAAGTAAATGTTGCCCTGTATCATAGACAAAGGCTTCGTTAGCTACATTGTTAGTGAAAATGCACAAACAAAACTTTGAACAATTTATCTACAATTTTGAACTAGATGTGCAACAACTTATTGGGGAAAAAATATAATAAAAATTAAACCTTGAGACTTTGTCAATTAAATTTAATAAAACTTGTTTAAATTAATTTCTACTGCTTATATATATGGGGGTGGGCATTCATTTTTATGTTCCAGAACAATATTAAGAAAGTCAGTGGAAATAATTTTTTTTTTCATTATATATATATATTTATAAAGTTTTTCATTTAATATATATATATATATATATATATATATATATATAATTTTGTCTGTGTGTGTAATGTATAAGAATTTCAAAATTTCATTGTTTTATAGTATTCCTAGTGTCATCAAAATAGCCTATGTTCTGACTTTGTCATCAGAACAAAGAAGACCAAAAATATTAGTGAAAAAATATGCAAAGCCAGATTACATGTTCATGGTTGTAAGCAGTTATTCAGTTTTAGGATTATTTTAATAAAAAGAAAACAAAAGCATCTTTAATTAATGCCGTTCTTCTCAGTAGGAGAACCTCTCAGATTGCAGAAGTAGTTAGGAATGCTTTTGATTGCTTGTTGATCGAATGGGGAGATGGTGTAATGGATTGCGTCTTGGAATAAGAAACCAGAGAGCAAATTTCACCCAAGTTTGTTACATTCACTTATGCACAAATACCTTCAGGAAAAGTATGAATCCATCTCTTTACCCCCTTCAGATATGGGTTAAATAGTCAGGGCAAACTGGGTTCGATAACTTTGATTGGTAACCATTCTAAAGATGGTGACTTGGGCAACTTATGGGATGTGTCAACCCATGAAAATGCACAATGAATGAAATTCTTCAGTTGTGCAAGTTGCACATTTTGCCACAGGCTGAGAAAGCATTTCTTTCTTTCAGCCAAGAAAAGAAAATATTTTGAGCCTCTTGTATGAATTGAACTCTATATCAATTATTTGTGAATGTTTCCCACAACCCATTAGATTGATGGGGTGTCATAATAAGTAATTCTCTTTCATGGCGTCTCTCAAGACATTAGTTTTTGGTGGTGTTTACATCCTCTCTATAATCACTTGTGCTGCAAACAAATTATGAATAGCAAATATATTGAGAGCACCATATCAGCATAGTGAAAGCTGTTGGCAATTTTATTTACCTCTCAACTTTTTTTCCTTTTACTAATTTTATCTCTCATTTGTATATACCAGAAATTTTTTTTTATGGTAAATATTTTAAAATTTAATGATGATGATTTAAAAATAAAATCTTATAACTTAACAAAAACGAATTTTCCAAAAAGCATGCCTTAGTATTGTACACAATTTGTCTAATGACAATTAAGATTTCAATTGTTTACTTTTCATAAGTATCAAGGCATTCATAAATTTTTCCTTTCAAATAAATGATTTTTTTTTTTTTTTTTTTTTTTTTTTTTTTTACAGCCAATCTCTTATCAATCTGTTACTGACTGGCAGAGCTGTCTCCAATGTCTGGGACAATGACAAAGAAATCTCTGGACTTAGTAAGTAGTTTCTCTTTGTTATTACAAACAAATGTTTTAGGGCCTAATTTGTTAACCTTTTTGCTGAAAGATGAGATGAGACAATGATGTGTCTTATGATGAATCATTGCATTTTATGACAAGTCACAATTTTATTTCGTTTTTTTTTTTTTTTTTTTTTTTATGAATTAATGAAACTTTATATTGATTTAAAATTTGTTATAATCTATGAGTTAAATTAGATTTCATTTTATGTTAACTGTTTGAACTAATTGGACAGCTTAAAGGTGAATTTATTTGCTTGTAAACCAACTTGTATATTTAAAAGGGTTGGCTTTTAAAACTAAATCTTTGTTTTGAGATCTGTATTTATTTATTTATTTTTTTTTTTTTTTTAATGTTGGAGTAGATGCTTTGTGTTAAAATATACATTGCTCATTTTCAGAAATGCGGGGTATCCAGAAACAATCATATATTGGATTCTTAACTTTACTTGAACATTTACGTTATTGTGAGGTAAATAAGTCTTCCTTGATTTTCTTAAACTTGATTGTTCGGAGAGAAAGATGAGTATATGTGATTATTCCTTTTTTGTAATCAGAAAATTTTCCCATTCTGTAAGCTGTCTGTGTGACTTTTGTACTTTTTAAGAATTGGGAAGTTTCTTTCTCCTCTGCATTTTGTCCATGCAACAAACAACAAAACTAATAAACCATAAAGTAATACAGGAATAGTACTCCCCCACACACACACACACACACACATATATATATATATATATATATATATATATGAGAGAGAGAGAGAGAGAGAATATGCTATATACATTTGTATGTATCAAAATAATGCTAGGCAATTGAATAACAAAGTGAGAAAATTCAGTGTAACACATTTCCTCCTCTAAAAGGATATCATCAGTTTGATGAAGTCCTTTAAGAGGATGAAACCTGTTACATATATAAAATGAAGTATAAAAATTATATATATATATATATATATATATATATATATATATATATATATATATATATATAACATATCTATTACTTCAAAAGTCATTATAGTGGATTCTCATCTATATAATAAATTCGAATGTTAGTATGTCACTGTCATACTTTTTTCAACTTAAAGGGACACAACTAACTTTCAAATAAAAAAAAAATTACTTTTCTCAAATTACAGTGATTCAAAACAAACTTCAACTTTACTTCTAGAGGCCAACATATCATACCATTTTGGAATCAGGCTGACTCCCTGAGCAAATTAAAAACATTCTGGGCTGGATCCATACACACAATCCTGATATTTTGGAGTTTTCATTACTACATTTTTTTTTTTTTTTTTTTTTTTTTTTTTGCAACAAATCTTTTTGTACGATAACAATTTCTATAACTTAGATAAATTTGGGAATAATCAAAATTAATTACAAAATCCAGCAACCATTGAATGTAAATACATCAAATTGTCTTTAAATAGCAACAGAAGAATTATTGTTGAACTTTTAAAAGGTAAGCTTGAATATTAATGCAATATTTAAATGAAGCAATCAATTTTGAGTTCTTCTGTATTATTGCCTATTGTGATGAAGGCCCTCCGCAGGAGCTAGTATTTGAAATTCACTCCATTCGTATTTTTACATTAAACAGTGTGTGTTACGTCTGTTGTCTTGAATATTTAAGAGACCTTAAAGAAAATGTGCTCTCTGACAGAGATTTCTCAAAGCTTGCCCTATCAGGTGGCATTTAAGCTAGCTCCTGTGGAAAGCTCTTGATTGGGCCTTTCAGCTTGTTCAAGAGTTTGAGAGTCCCTAAGTCTTTGCATATTCTGAGTATTGGAAACACTTCTGGCTGCTGTTTGATCTGGGTTTTCATATGCACAGGACTTCCTTTTTCTCACTGCAGCCTCAATTGCAATCTGGTCCACTGTTAGTAGAGATTTCTTTTTGCAAGGTATACTGCTGCTGTATGCGATAGGCAACAATAAACTATAGAAGAACTCAAAATTGATCACTGCATTTAAGTATTGCATTAATATTTAAGCTTAGCTTTTAAAAGTACAACGATAATTCTTTTGCCGCCACTTAATTTAAAGACAATTTGATGTACATAGGTTCTTACTGTCTGTACAATTATTTTTATTTTATGGGTGACTTTCACTGGATTTTGCAATTTCGATTATCCCCAAATTTACTTTGAAGTTGTAAAAAATTATTATCATACAAAAAATTTTGTTGCAAAAACTCACGTAAAAAATCACTGAGATCAATCGCAGTAATGAAAATTTGGGAATCCAAAATTTCTGTAACATAAGCTATTGAAAGTTAGAGAGTTGTGTCCCTTTAATTGAAAAAGTGTGACATACTGACATTCAGTTATTATTATATATATATATATATATATATATATATATATATATATATATATATATATATATTAGATCTGGGTGTCCCATACTTTCGGCCTTGTGCCACATCTAAGCTATGCTTGGAAAATAACTATATTAGTTCTGGGTATGATGATAAACTACATCCAGCAGCAAGGCCTTTCATTGGGACATTGGTGCTTTTGAGGAGCATTGTAGCACTTGTTAGCATCTCAGCAAATAGTGATCCGCTACTGTCAAACAAAAACAAAACATGATGAAAGAATAAAAAAAAATTTTTATAAAAAGATTATCAACAAAGCATCTTTATTTTAAAATTACCAACAATACACACATACTAGCAAATTGTAGAGATTTCACCCAAACCCATTTAAAATGCTACCAAACAACCAACAATTTACCAAAATTACACAAAAATATCTTGAAATACTAATAAAATTGCCATTGTCTTCAGCCACCAGACGACTTTGGAATCATTTGAAACTCTTCTGGACTGTCTCCTTGTTTAAGTTGGTGAATGCTGACTATCCTTGCCTTCAGTTCATCTTTGGTGTTACAAGGAGTCTTTTTGATCTTTCGCTCAACTCTGCCCCACACATAATAATCAAGGGGGATGCAGTCTGTGGAGTTAGTTGGCCAGATGTAAGAGCTGATGTGGTCGCAGAAATTGTCTGACAGCTATGACTGGGTTCTCCTGCTTGTGTGACATGGTGCAGAGTCCTGTTGCCTTATCTTTATTATGTGTGGGGTATAGCATCTGAAATGCAATTATTTTTTTTTTTTTTTCATCTCTTTTTCACAAATAAAGACTGAAATTTAAATCAACATTTAAATCCAAATTCAACTCATTTTACTTTATTACATGTAAAACAATTTTTTTATAAATAAAAATATTACTTTTAATTTTCTTATTTCAATGAGTCATGCATTTCTCTCTCTCAAAATTTCTAAATTTTAATCTTTCATTGTTTTTTGATAAGGTTGGCTGGTTTCTAAAGAATCCAAAATGTCCCATTTGGTTATTGGCAAGTGAAACTCATCTCACAGTTCTTTTCTCAAAGGTAATTGTCATTTATTTTACAATAACAAAAATTCAGATTTTTTTTTTTTTTTTTTTTTTTTTTTTCATTTCTGGAAAAATATTTTAAATTGCCTTTTATTGTTTGAACAGCACAATGTTATCGGCTGTAGTCGGGATCATCGAGTCAGTGTGAACGATCCTTGACCAGAGTTTTCCTTCTCTTAGACTGGTTGCCACCTAAGGCTATAGAACCCAGTCTGTTTTATTATTTACCAATAGCGGGGAGAGAAGAGTTGAATTCATACCTTTCTCAAGCGTATTAGCATGTAAGTGAATGTAATGGATCTGACTGGAATTCAAACTCAGCTCTCAGATTCCTCAATCCGAGCCACAATCCATATACAATGATTCATTTGATGTGCTTTGTTAGGTTTTCATCAGTTAACAGATTACTGATAAAAATTTTTTTTTTTTTTTTTTTTTTTGTTTTTTTTGTTTTTTGTTTTTATTTTGTTTTTTTAAATATATTTTTACCCAAAATGAACTAAAACATTTATTTAAAAATATCATATCCTTCCAAGGGGTAGGCAATCTCCAGCAGATACTTTTTGTGAATTGCCATCACTTCTTAGGGAAAGATAGTGTAGTGGTTTCTCATTGATTTCTCTATAGTTGTGATTCAGTGTAGTCCTTCTCTTACCTCCACTACTATTTAGGGCTAGCAGGACCAGTCTATCCTGCTATTTAACCCATAGCTGGAGGGAGAAGAGAAAAATTCATACTTTTCCCAAGGGCATTAGGATGAAATTAAATGTAACAAACTAGGACAGAAATTGAACTTGGCTCACTAATTCCACTTTTCATGCTAATATTCATTACACTACTTGTGCATCCTTGAGAAAATAACTTTATAAAGCATTATTGCTGTAAACCTTTTATTTTTAATATTGTAATAGTTGAGTACGTTGTACAGATTATATGGTGTAGTGGGTTTTAACTACTTTTTTGCTTAAGGTGAATTAAGGCAATAAAACATTATTTCTCATAGTAGTTTTTCTTAAAATTGTAGTAAGAGTACACTAATGAGTTAGCAAAGTATGTGCTACAGAATCTATAGCATAGTGGGTTTTAACTATTTTGGATTTTTAGAAATAAAAGAATGTTAAACTTCCATGTAATGTTTGGAAGTACCATGTTTATACTTTTGTTGTTAATTCTTGAGAAAATAGAGAATGCATAAATCCAGTTGCACATGTTTAGGTTTTATTAAAATTCCAAAAATAACTTTTTGAAACAATGAAATTTGCTTAGGAAGCATACGATAATAGTTGTGTCGAGAGAAGAGCTGTCCTTTTTGACACACCATTTATTTTTATTTTTTCATGTTTTTTTTCTAACCTTTGTCCTCTTTGTTTATGATGTCTGTCATTATAAGTTGCAAAGAGTTTCCTGAACATTTTTCTTTTAGTATATAAAACAATGTTCTCTTTTGTGTTTTCCTTTTAGGAAAAAGGTATTGTGTTTCCAGCAACACAAGAAGTGACTGCAAAACAAATATTTCAAAGGTTTGACCATGAAGGTAAGTCCATTGGATTATTTTTATCCATTTTCCCCCAAAATAATTTTTAAGCAATTTTAGGAAAAGAAATATTTTTCTTTTATGGCTTAGTTCTGTCATCTTAGTTTGAATATCACTCTTTGTCCTGTTGCATGTCAGCCTCTTTGGGGTACTTACATAAATCCAATCTTTTCATAATCAAACAAATCTAAATTTCTTAGGTTTTATTTGTTTCCTGCCTCAGATAAGATGATAATCATCAGTTTAATTCCCAGGGCAAAATTCCTCCTCATGTGTGCATATATATACACACACAAGTTGTATATTCCTTTCCTTATTTATACATGAGTGGTCTATTTTAAATACTTTTAGATGTTTTATTTCTTTTTTTCTTTTTTTTTCTTTTTTTGCATACACATTTTTTTATTTTTTTTTTATTTTATTTAACCATTAACAGTCTGTTTCATGAAGATATTAAATTATTTCAAACTGTCTGCATGCTGACACATTCCGTTTAAAAAATATGAAAAAGAATTCTTAAGCTTGAGCATCCAAAAGAAACAAATACACATTTTGAAAATCAAACACCATAAAACGGGTTGTTAATAGGTAAATCCCCACCTCCCAGTGTTTGTGTTTTACAGAATGTGCAAGCTAAACAAAAATGGCTAACTAGTCAGAACTGTAGCACTATGATTGGAATCCCCATTTACAAGAGAGAAAAAGTGTACTTTTATCTTGATCTCAAGTGTTTCTGTTTTATGACTGGCAGATGACATCATTGAAGTTAGGTCTTCTAAACAGCATCCACTTGAATGAAAAGGATCAGAAGAGTAAACGAGTGAATGTTGGCTTTTGAGGTTAAGCAAAAACAAGCTGGACATTGATGATAAGCAGTTGCTAGTTCATATTAACAGTCACAGTTGGGATGTAGAACATTGTGACAGATTATCTCTTGGGTAGTTACAATACTGCACATTCATGTTGCCAGCCATGTGTCATGATATGTAGGTGGGAGAATGGAAGAGCTGAGCTGTTAAACTGACCTGACAGAAATTGCCCCAAGTGTCATCAACCTACCCATTTAGACTGAGCCAGTGAAGCCCTGAATTAGTATTATTGAAAACAAGATTCAAATTCTCATTTCCTGAAATATCATTTGTTTTCAGCTTTCATTTCCTTGTGAGTATGCAGCAGGCTTTTCCCAGTTTTTGTTGCATGCTAGCATGAACACAATGTGGAGGAATTCATTGAGCTAGTAGGAAGCTGGGTGATGGTCCTGGTGTGAGGGTTTTGTTCTATGTTTACAGAACTTTGGCAACTCAAACTGAGTGGGTGTTGTTTGAACTTCTTGGGCATGGAATCCTGATTGTAATAGATTATCTTTGTTTTAACATGACTGAAAACAGTACGTTTACAGTAATATAGGAGTGAAAGGTCTTCAGATCCCAGATTCCTTGTCATGCTGTGCCTTCAGTAGAGAAAGACAAGGCACTGTATGGGGATGATAAGTAACTAGCCAACTTGTTGACTTTTCTTTACCTTTCTCTGTCTCACTTTTTCCAAGAAATGATGCTTACTATGTCCCCTTGAAATAAAGCAAGTAAAAAGAAACCTGAAGAAAATTATCAGACTCATTCAGTCTGATGCAGAATTGGGGTCCCTACTGAGGAACTGCCAATAGACACACAATATAACAAATATATATAATCTGCATATCTTTGAGATAATAACACTATCAGATTTTATTATACTTTTTTATGACTTTTATTATGTACGTTGCATGATGAAATTAGTATTAATGAACTGTTGTTGGTAAAACTTTGGAAAATACTTAAATTTTAAATGATTTTTGTTAACTTTTATACTTTTGCAACTTTAAAATTTTTTTGGTGTATTCTTCTGTTAATTTCCCCCCAAAAATCTTTACTTGAATATTATTTTTAATTCTCATATAAAACAATTTTAATGTTAGATCAAAAGTTTTCTATTGGATGAATATCCAGAGAGTTTGGGGCTCATTCCATAAATTTAGTTTCTTTGAAAGCATTTTTCCTTTAGTAGAATAGGAAGGAGTATTGATTTATGTGAATAGACTCTTTAGCTCAACGCTATCTAGTTGCATATTGTCCAGGAATTTACAATTTTTTGTATTTATATTGATAGTAGTAATGGGCCAATATCTACAATGAATAAATTCATTATTTTCAGGACCTATGGTTGGTTTGGTAAACTTAATGAACGAAGTACATTTATTAATAAAACCTTTAGTAGAAAAACGAATACAAGAGCTTATGTAATAAAGTTAGATAACCTTTTTATTTAAAAAAATTGGGTAAAAGTTTAAACAATAAAGAGAACAATTTCTTTATGTAAATCACTTAAGTACCTAGCTTCAATTGACATATTGCTTTACTTAGGTTATCACCTGAATCTTAAAAAATCTTCAAAACTATACTTTTCTGCTTGGCATTGAATACACTTGCTATAATTGGGGGCTGAAAATAAAAAAAACATCAATTGAAATTAAAATTTTTCACTGTTGGATAAAAATGTTTCCACTTTTCTAATGTGTATAATTTGTAAACATTCAACTAATAATGGTTTGCTATTGTAAAATAGGGTTTATTTTTTGTTCACCTATTAAGTTTTAACAAGCAAAGGTGCCCTCTAAATATTATGCAATGTCCTTAAAATTTTATATGTGGCATTTTTCAATGAATGGAACAAATTTAGGGGTGACAATTCAATTTCAGCACGCATTTCAAAAATAAGAGACACCCTAATATATTTATTCTTGCAACAATAATACTCTAAGCAGAAAGGCACCATCCTATGTATTGTGGTTTAACTCGTGCATATATTTTGATAAAGTACAAGGAGTACCTAATACTGCAAAATCGAATAAAAAAAAAAATAAATGCAAATTTTAAATTTGCTTACAGACATTTAATAAAAATTAAATATGAATTATCACAGCAACTTAATAAATAAATAAATAATAAAGGGTCTTCAATCTTATCTAAAAAAAAAAATTTAATCACTATTAAATTTTTACTCTCTAAAATAAATTTCTCACAACTAAAAAATCTAAAACATGACGTAGGCTTGTCATGCCACATAGACTGAGATGAACACCTCCATTGTCATCATATTTCATTAGTAAAAAAAGTTCTATTCAAATGCTTCTTCCCAAGAACCACTATTTTGTGTCAAAGACATCGAAGAGGGTGCTTTCTTGATCACTACAATCATAACCTCTTAACATCTAAGGTTAATGGTTCTCTATCTCGCATATTCTCATAAATTGCACTTTTTACCTTTTTATTTTTACTGCTCTTGCAACAACTTCATTCAGTAACCCTCTGCCTTAAGTGGCTCTTGGACCTTGTGTTGGGTAAAGAAAAAAAATCAGTTGGGTCATGAGATCACCAAACAACATGCTTCAGTTGGTCCATGAATACGTTCCAACAGATGTCAACGAAAAAAAAAAACAATTTAGTTCAAACATTAGAAAAAGCAGTAGTGAAAGAAAGTAAAAGCAACTTTCCATTAAGACTGCCAAGAGAGTAATCAGATTCCTCTTCTAAATAAAGAGGAGAGTAAATATCTCCTAAACTCTGAAGAGTATGTACTTTGATATTCTAATATTAAATAATGGTTCTTTGGCACAATGTCTACAGTGAGTGTGGTTCATATAAATTTATATGGAGTGCTACAGTAAAAAATTGTTAGATATCATGGTTGTAATATTGGTTGAGACTCAACAACTCTTTGTCTTCTGCCTTTTCTCCTTTTAAATGCTTTCACTTCATACAGCAATTTGACATAACAGCAAACCATCATGTTCAGTCCATTTAAATGGATGAGTTAGGGGGTGGGTAATTATTTTTACACACTGGGCAATGGTTCAAGTCTTGTCTAATGCAGTTACCAATCAGCAATTTAATCCGATTTGTTACTCGTTTTTCTTTTTCTTTTTGGCACTGACTGTTGCAGATTAGTGTGATAGTCAGTTTATTGTGTCTGACTGTTGATTGTGACTTGGTCATTTCTTTTGGCATAATTTTTTTTTTTTTTTTTTTTGTTTACCAGGTTATTTATGAATATTTCTTTGGCTCTTTAGATAATATTTCAGATAGATTAAGTTTATTTTGCAAATATACAAATACAGTAGAATGCAAAACATTGAGAACCGATCTGGCATTAACTCAGACCTGGTTCCAATGTTGGCTTAGAATCTGCTATTACTTGTGCTCTCAACTCACTGCTTATACTCCTTCTAAAAGCTAACACTTTTTACGACAATTCAACATCATAAAAAACCTCAAGTCATGTTTTTAACTAGCCTCATCAGATTAAGACATTCATTTGAATGTCACGAATGATGCCAAACTTGTTGAGAAATATCTAAACTGTCAGCTGTATACAATTACTTCCTCAGATCAATGGTTAAAAATAGCTTTGAGTGAATGAGGTCTGTAGGTCTTAGCAAGGGTTGTCCATCTTCAAATCTTGTGGACTGGCACTACAGCAAACAAACAACTGTACTAAATAACAGAATCCACATCACTTGACTTTCAACCACATGAACAACTAAATTGAGTAGCACATGTAATTTGAAGAGAAAATAATAGCATTATAAATATGTTGATGTTTCACACTATTTCAAGTAAAAGGTTAGGAAGGAAGTCCCCATCACTACTGGAAAGAGAGGTAAAAGTGGACTTGATTAACATATTTCCTTGAAAAATTGTTTTAAGATTTTATAAATTTCAACCGAAGGAGCACTGGCAGGTTGGTCGATAAATACTGAATGTTTCCTTATAAGGAAACTATTGATATTACCATTATCTTGAGCGATAAAGATGAAGAGATACTACATTTAGTATTTACTCCATTCGGTGGTGGGATATGGTACAAGGCCAGTTTAAAGTGAGGAGCCCAAATCCATGCAAATGGGCTAAGACCAAAAATTGCTCAGTCCCCACAACCAAATGACATGCTGGCATCGATATTTCACTGAGCCTACCTCTTTGGTGAAATGAGAGAGGTGCTGCTAAGGATTGGAATCCTCAGGACCAGGCATCACTTAATTATTTATTGTATTCTGACCGAAGACAAAAACAATTTAGAGTTAAAATGTAGTTTGTCTGCCCAAAGGTAGATGCAAGACTTTCATGTTGGCCTGATGGCCAGGGCATAAAGAAAAGCATTACTCAAGTAGCATGAGTTGCTTGGTCATTGAATGCCGAATATTTCCTTCTAAGGAAACAGCTAATGTTACAGTTACCATCATTTCAGTGAATGTGGGGGAGTAATATTTCTTCATGTCTGAATTAACAGCTGGATTGATTCCCGGCCTTCTTATCTCACTGGAGGCTTATAGTCACATCACATTGAAACACTAGTTTATGATCAACAAAATTAAGCAACGTTGAGGCTGGTCAGTACCAAGATGGGAGACTGCTTAGGTATAACAGTTGCTGGAAGTTTGGATGTACAGGTGGTGTAATGGATAATGGCTTGGAATCATTAATTGGAGAGCTGAGTTCCAATTCCAGTTGGGTTTGTTATATTCACTTATGTACAAATACCTTTGGAAAAGGTATGATTCCACCTCTTGTCCCTCCCCTGGCTATGGGTTAATTAGTAAGACTTGCATCACAAAAAATTTCTTACAATGTAAAAATGTTTTTTGGCTTTAAATAACCTGCAAAAAATGAATCAATTACCTCACTTATGATTGTGTTGTTTTGTTCTTTTGCAGGAAATGGTTTCATTTCTACATCCTCCTTGGCTGAACTGCTACAAGAACTCGATCTAGGAACAGAAAAGGAATAGTAAGTATAACATTCTCTTATTTCAATTAAATTAACCTTCTTTTTCTATTAACAGATATATGGAAAAGATTTCTCAGGATTGCAATTTAAGAATATGTTTACTTATTAGGAAACAAAATATTTGTTCATGAGCAATATATGGTATAGATGGTTTCAGCATAGTGTGATGTTACATGCAAAAATAGGATTTCTTGCAGAAAGTATGAGAAAACACAATTTCTGAGTTTTTTTAAGATAGAGCAAAATAAGATCTGAAATATAAAATGAAAGCAAGCATTTTATTTTTTAACTGAAAAATATTTTATTGTAAGAATTATTTTAAATATGAAGCAGTCAGTCAATTTGACTTTGGGCCTGGTATCAACACCTTGTCCCCCCCCCCACCTTTTTTCTCATATTATAAACTCATTTCCATATGTGGCTTACATTATATAGAAGTACTTAGATAAGACTTCACTTTCTACACACTTTGTCTGAGATAGTGAGAGTATTGCTACCTTGATTATGTTCGAAGTGACTTGTAATTTATTTAGTCCATGACTTCATTCAAGACTTCACTTTGTCCAAGACATTGAAATGACTATGATCATTTGTTCTTGTTTAGGCATTACTTCATTCATGACCTTTTTGACATGTTTATATATGAGCCATTATTTTGTTATATTTTTTATTATCTACTTAAAAAAATATTTTTTTTATTATAACTCTCAGTAGCTATCAGATGATATTTTAGCCCTCTTTGTGGTATTTAACCTACCAAAGAAATTTATACAAGGCTTATTAAAAGCGCAACTAGGCAATTAAAAAGTTAGAAAGTTTAGTGACTTTAACTCCTGGTAACTGCAATTTCTTTTTCTTTTTTTTAATTTTAGGTGATAAAAATGAAGGTTCCCTGGTACAAAGATTGTATCACTAAATAAATAAGTATCAATCATACCTTGTACCAAGTTTGTATGACAAAATTATTTTTCTTAGTCATTTTTTGCCAAATGTCCTTGTATTTCATAATAATATTTTTCCATTTTCTTGTCTAACATCAATTTCAAACATACGCAGTAACAATATTTTCCTACTAAATGATTCCTGTGCCAGATAGCTGAAGATTCTGCATTAGAAAGATTGTATAGCTATGTTTTCTGTACTAGAGGAATATGAAGGACACCCCCAGTGCAACCTTTGTATCAGTAAATGATGCCTGTGACAGATATGAAATGTCCTGAGTAGTGTACTGAGTAAGTATGAAGGTCATATGAGTAAAGTTTCTTTCATTAAATGATTCCTAGGCAGAAAAAGTATGAGATTTCATAGTAAAAAGATTATGTCCCTAAATGATTCCTGTGTCATCTTAGATGTGGAGGGTTTTCTTTATCAAGCTCAGATCACTGAATGTTTCCCCTGTTAGATAACTGTCAAACTTCCCTAATACAAACATTATCTCAGAAAATAATTCCTAGGCTATATATGTATGACATTTCCTAATATGAAGATTGTATTACAAAATCGTTCCTCTGACAAATAAAGAAGTGTAGCTTGTGTCTAGCATTTTTATCACTAAATGATTCCTGTGGCAAAAAAGTGTGATGCTTCCCTGGTATTAGCATGATATTACTAAATAATTCATGTTCCAAATTTATCAAGCATGCGACATGCCATATTAAAATCACTAAATGATTACTGTATGGAATAAGAATTAAGCGTACCTCATGCAGAGTTTGTATCATTAAATCACACCTGTGCAAAATAAGTATGAAGCATACCTTGTGACTATTTTGTATCACAAGTGGTTAAAAGTTTCATGCATTAAATAAATATGAAGCGTACCTCATGCCTAGTTTGCATCACTAAATGATTTCTGTGCCTAATGAGTACGAAGCATACCTCATGACTATAATGTAAAACTAAACAATTCCTGTACCAGATAAGAGGGAAGGTTCCTTTTCTACCTGTGAAGAGAACATATGACATTCCTAATTTTTATCAAAATGATTCCTGTATCAAATAAGTATCAGACATGCCTCATATCAAGTTTGTATCACAAAATGATTCCTGTGTCAAATAATATTAAATGTACCTTGCTCCAGGTTTTGTATGACTAAATGATTTAAGTGCCAAATAGTTATCAAGTGTACATTGTGCCAGCTTTCCATCACTAAATGACTCCTGTGCCACATAAGTATGAAACGTACTTCATTCCAAGTTGGTATCACTAAATAACTCCTGTACCAAGTAAATGTGATTTGTATTTCATTCCTAGTTTGAATCACTAAACAACTCCTGTGCCAAATGAGTATGAAGCGTACCCGATTCCAAGTTGGTATTGCTAAACGACTCCTGTGCCAAGTAAATGTGAATTGTATTTCATTCCTAGTTTGTATCACTAAACGACTCCTGTGCCAAATAAGTATGAAACGTACCACATTGCAAATTTGTTTCAATAAACGACTCCTGTGCCAAATAAGTAGGAAGCGTACCCAATTCCAAGTTGATATCACTAAACAACTCCCTGTGCCAAGTAAATATGAAGTGTATCTCATTCCTAATTTGTATCGCTAAATGAACTCCTGTGCGAAGTAAATGTAAAGTGTATTTCATTCCTAATTTGTATCACTAAACGACTCCTGTGCTAAGTATCACGCGTACCACGTGCCAAGTTTGTATAACTAAATGATTCCTGTGCCAGATAAGTGTGAACGTTCCCTGTTAGGTAAAATGTATTCTCAAAAGATTCCTGTACAAAGTTTGTATCACTAAATGACTTCTGTGCCAAATAAGTATGAAGCGTACCTGATTCCAAGTTGTTATCACTAAATGACTCCTGTGTCAAGGAAATGTGAATTGTATTTCATTCCTAGTTTGTATCACTAAACGACTCCTGTGCCAAATAAGTATGAAATGTACCTCATTCCAAGTTGGTATCACTAAATGACTCCTGTGCCAAGTCAATGTGATTTGTATTTCATTCCGAGTTTGAATGAGTAAACGACTCCTGTGCCAAATAAGTATGAAGCGTACCCGATTCCAAGTTGATATCACTAAACGACTCCTGTGCCAAATAAATACAAAGTGTACCTCATTCCAAGTTGGTATCACTAAACGACTCCTGTGCCAAATAAGTATGAAACGTATTTCATTCAAGTTTGAATCACTAAAGTGACTCCTGTGCCAAATAAGTATGAAGCGTACCTCATTCCAAGTTGGTATATCTAAATGACTCCTGTGCCAAGTAAATATGAGATAAAATGTATCTCATTGCTAGTTTGTATCACTAAATGGCTTCTGTGCTATGTAATTATCATGCGTACCACGTGCCAAGTTTGTATAACTAAATGATTCCTGTGCCAGATAAGTGTGAACGTTCCCTGTTAGGTAAAATGTATTCTCAAAAGATTCCTATACAAAGTTTGTATCACTAAATGACTTCTGTGCCAAATAAGTATAGGTAAAATGTATTCTCACCTGATTCCAAGTTGGTATCACTAAATGACTTCTGTGTCAAGGAAATGTGAATTGTATTTCATTCCTTGTTTGTATCACTAAACGACTCCTGTGCCAAATAAGTATGAAACGTACCTCATTCCAAGTTGGTATCACTAAACGACTCCTGTGACAAATAAATATGAAATGTACCTCATTCCAAGTTGGTATCACTAAACGACTCCTGTGCCAAGTAAATATGAAGTGTATTTGATTCCTAGTTTGAATCACTAAGTGACTCCTGTGCTAAGTAAGTATCATACGTACCACATGCCAAGTTTGTATATCTAAATGATTCCTGTGCCAGATAAGTGTGAACGTTCCCTGTTAGATAAAATGTATTCTCAAAAGATTACTGTACAAAGTTTGTATCACTAAATGACTCCTGTGCCAAATAAGTATGAAGCGTACCCCATTCCAAGTTGATATCACTAAATGAACTCCTGTGCCAAATAAGTATAGGCGTGCCTCATTGCTAGTTTGTATCACTAAATGGCTTCTGTGCTAAATAATTATCATGCGTACCCGATGCCAAGTTTGTATAACTAAATGATTCCTGTGCCAGATAAATGTGAACGCGTCCCTGTTAGGTAAAATGTATTCTCAAAAGATTCCTATACAAAGTTTGTATCACTAAATGACTTCTGTGCCAATTAAGTATAGGCGTACCTGATGCCAAGTTGGTATCACTAAATGACTCCTGTTGGAAAAAATGAATTCTGAATTGTATTTCATTCCTTGTTTGTATCACTAAACGACTCCTGTGCCAAATAAGTATGAAATGTACCTCATTCCAAGTTGGTATCACGAAATGACTCCTGTGCCAAGTAAATATGAAGTATATTTGATTCCTAGTTTGAATCACTAATGACTCCTGTGCTAAGTAAGTATCAAGTGTATCTCATTCCAAGTTTGTATAACTGAATGATTCCTGTGCCAGATAAGTATGATGCGTTCCCTGTTAGGTAAAGTATATTCTCAAATGATTCCTGGACCAAGTTTGTATCACTAACTGACTCCTGTGCCAAGTAAATATGAAGTGTATCTCATTCCTAGTTTGTGTCACTAAATGAACTCCTCTGCCAAGTAAATGTGATTTGTATTTCATTCCTAGTTTGAATCACTAAACGACTCCTGTGCCAAATAAGTATGAAACGTACCCGATTCCAAGTTGATATCACTAAACGACTCCTGTGCCAAGTAAATGTGAAGTGTATTTCATTCCTAGTTTGTATCACTAAACGACTCCTGTGCTAAATAAGTATCATGCGTACCACGTGCCAAGTTTGTATAACTAAATAATTTCTGTGCCAGATAAGTGTGAATGTTCCCTGTTAGATAAAATGTATTCTCAAAAGATTACTGTACAAAGTTTGTATCACTAAATGACTCCTATGCCAAATAAGTATGAAGCGTACCCGATTCCAATTTGATATCACAAAACGACTCCTGTGCCAAATAAATATAAAGTGTACCTCATTCCAAGTTGGTATCACTAAACGAATCCTGTGCCAAGTAAATGTGAT